CACTCACATTCACACCTACGGACAATTTAGAATCACACATTTTTAAATAAGAAAATCCAGATAAAAAGAAATAAAATTATAAAACATATCATGATCATGCAGGTTGGCTGAATAATTTCTGAATTTTTGTCACATAACAGTAAGTGGCAGTTAAAGGTTTGTTTTTGATGAATTTTAAAAGTAGAATAAAGTAATTTTGATAAAATATTAGAGCTTCTATTGAGCTTAGGGCGAAGACAGGGGACACCCTGGACAGGTCACCAGTCTATCACAGGGCTACACTTAGAGACAGACAAACAAGCACACTCACATTCACACCTACAGACAATTTAGAATCACCAATTAACCTCAACATGTTTTTGGACTTGTGGGAGGAAGCTGGAGAAACCGGGGAGAACCCACGCTGCACGGGGAGAACATGCAAACTCCACGCAGAAAGATCTTGGTGGGGGCACCGGGACTCGAACTGGCGACCTTCTTGCTGCGAGGCAACAGTGCTAACCACCGAGCCACCTTGCAGCCCTACCAACAGTCATGTGATAAAAACTAAGAGAGTTTTCAGCTGAACTGCAGCAAGTGTTTCCATAGAGCAGAGAGAGACAACAAGCGAGACTGAGAGGAAAATAAGACAAAAAATAAATGTACAGAAGAGCAAGCTGTTGCAAGATACATGCAGCATGGTGAAACATCTTCCTAGAGCTGATGTGGAGAGTATAGAGGAAAACGCAGCGTTTGTAGAGGTTTTAAAAACGCATCAATAAACTATCTATAGCATGTGGAGCAACTATTTTTCCCCCAGTTTTTGTAACAGTATTTTTTCCTTTTTTCAGATTTATGGCATTTTAACCGTCTTACTGTAAAAAATACATTTCTGAGTTCTCTCTACTTCTTCATGGTTCTGATGTTTCCATCGAGGTGCAGGACTTTTTATTGCACTGAAAAATCAGCCCACAGTGAAGAAAAATCTGACAGGAGCAAAGAAAAAAAAACTGCTGGTGGTCCAGGAGGTTAATTGAGAGATCCAGATTGCTGCAATATCTCCTTAATATATAAATTCCAAATGACTCTGGTGAATCATCGCAGCGAGCGCCAGTTACTCTTTGGCTTTGCTGCAAAAGGATTAATGTCAATTATTATTTTTCCAAACAAATGCATGAGTGCTTTTGAGGGTTTTTTTTTTTTTTTAAAAGCTGGCATCTCCCAGTCTAAATAAACCACCAGAAGAAACACAGATAAAGGTTCTATTCAGGGTAACAACAGATTTGATGTATTTTTTAGTTATTAGTTCTTTGCTTGTAACCACACAGCATGTGAGAAGAAACAAAGAAAATTCATTGCAGTCTATAAGAGGAAACATTCATTTGTGAGGAGTTTGACAGACAAAGCCCCCTGCAGTATTTGGATTAAAAAAAAAAAGGAAAAAAAAGGGAAAAAGTCAGACAAAGACTCCTCGGGGCTGCAAAGAAAAGAAAAGAAGAGAAAAGAGGGGGCTGGAGAGACATGAGCAGAGAGAAAACAGAGGCAAGATGGAGGGAGGGCAGGGACCTAAAATGGGTGATGGAGTGTGGAGGTGGATGCAAAAGAGGAAGAAGAGGTGGACTGGGGAGGGATGGAGTGAGGATGAAGAGGGGGGGGGGAGGCAGCAGCTGGGCGCATGCCATGTGAGCAGCAGCAGTTATTGGACTCGGCCCTCCGAACCTCCAGCCTCCTCCACATCCTGCTGTCACCATCCAACCGTCATCTGCAGCCTCCTTTTCCTGATCCCTCCTCCCCTCCGACAAGCTGTGCTTCTACTTAATTTGGCATGATGGGCCCTTCATATGCTCCGTCTGTCTCCTTATCGTCCTCGCATCACTCACATTTCCTCTCCTCCACTCTTTTTTTCTTGCCCCTCCTTCCCACCCTCCGCAACACAGTTCAGCTCGAATCGACTTTGACACGGAGATGATGGGTGGCAGCGGAGCCGGCGGCGGCGGCGAACGCTTCTGCTCGTAATCACAGCAAAATGTTAAAGTGAGCAGGAGACAAACACTTGAAAGTGACATTTAAGAGTGTGTATCTGTCTGGTCTCCAAAGTAGGGGTGAAAAAGACGAGGGCAGGGAACACAAAGCTTATGAAAGAAGCTCGTTTTATCAGTGTCACCCATTTCAAGTCTTTACCGGCTTGTTTGTCTCTGGTGTGTCTTATCTTCTTCCTCTTCTAAATGTAAATTTACACTCAGTACTTTGTTGTTTTTTTTTAAAAATGATCGTCTCAGTGGAAGATACAACAGCTGTATTATGCAAACAAACCTCTCACAGGTCCAACATTGACACTGAACCTGCTTTTCTCATCCAGACATCTTAACAAATTAGGCTTCTCGGCCCAGCAGGACGTGTAATGAAATGAAAGGTCAGTGTTTTTACTAGTGTCACTTTCTGTTCCTTCGCTTTTAAGTGCGCTGATTTTGTGTCAAAGTAAAGGTCAATTTAAGAACAAATTTACAAACTGATGTCAGTGTTACGTCACTGATCCAGCTGTAATGAAGAACTAGTCGTCGTGTTGATTTATTGGATTTATCGTGTGCAGGAGAGTTGACCTCTAAAATATAAAGATCTCTGATTACCATCCAACCAAATAACCCCCTGTGACGCTATTTACATGCTAATTTCAATACCTTTACTTTCAAGCTCTTATCTTGGTCAGATGACATCTAATAATAACGTCATAACGTCCATATTTTCTCCTTGTTACTGACTTAAAGCCTCGGCTGCTTAGATGTTTTATTTTCTGTGAACACTATGAACCCCCCAAAATTCTGGCAGGTTTGAAAGGCATGTTACCTTTTTATAAACTTTCCAAAATTATAATATTTATCAGATCCAAAACTGTAAAACAAAAAGAATCGCCAGATTTTTAACTTTCCGACAATCCATGAACTAATCAACTGTGTTTCTGTGGGACTAAATGAAACAAATTCAACCATAAAATCAGGATATTTCATGAAAATCACTTTATTCTACTTTTAAAATAAGCTGTGAAATACGACCAACAGTCATGTGAAAACTCAGACATTAGGCTGAACTGCAGACTGCATAAAATCCTACTATCCTATCATTTTTCCTTATTTCATCCCTTTATTCTGGATTATCTTATCTAAAACTTTGTCAAGAATCAAATGTTTGCACTAATCAGTAGAAAACTAAAAACTCCATCTGTGACCAACAGTCACATCACAAACATTTAGGGAACGTTCAGGTAGAGATAGCAGCTGAGTGTTTCCCTTTAACCAAATGAGCCCTGTGAGGCTGTTGTTAGACAAGCTTTCATCTCGGTCACTATAAGGGCCAGTCATGTTGTATCTTGTTTTTTTTCAGAATTTTCTCAGCTATCCAGATTGTCTGGAATCTGGCCATAGCAGAACCATAATGGTGGGATACTATATGTCTGCAAAATTGGAAAACACATTAGTGGCCA